TATTTTGATTTGAACTTTCTCCCTCTAGTTACACACTTTGGTCAATTTACTGTAAGATTAATTCATGCAATTGAATATTATTTATTTGAAAGCATTAGAAATGCAGTTTCTTGTCTCTCCTTGTATTGTTCAAGTGGTTGAGGTTGATTTGGGATTTAGAAAGTAATTAATAAGTAAGTAAAACAAACTAGTAAGTAGACCAATACTTTCTAGAGACAGTAATTATTACATTAATCTAATTAGACTTGTTGAAGATAAAATTTGTAGTTAGTAATTAAGAACTATTTTAGAGTAACTTATCCAACTGTTATAATATCAGAGGTGAAACTGGAAGAACAGTATTTTATTAAACCTAATTTAGTTTTCATGGATAGGTGCAATCCTGCAGGCATCAAAAGAACATGGTAGCAGCTGAAAATGAAATATAAAAACATACTTCAAGCAGGTAAGCCTTGAGCACATCATGGGAGTAGAGTAGCTACCTGGCTTTACAAACAGGATCATCCATAAAAGGACATGCCATTTCATTCCCTTTGATGCGCTCTACGTGACTGAAATGTGTGCAATGAATACTGTATGTCCCCAAAGAATCAATGAGGTGTTTAAACACCACTTCCTCTTTAAAAAAGGGGAGGAGACCAAAATAAACTCTGGATTTTCTGAAGAAAACCTGCTCCCGACCAGGTTAGGTTCACAGAGTAAATTCCCATGGTACCTGACTCTGAGTATAAGTTACCTCTCTTTCAGAAACGGGCTTGACTTACTCTGCTTTCTCAGGTTTAACTTACCTCCCTTTCTGAAACAGAAAACCCAGAGTTTCCCTCATTTCAGCGTTAACAAACTCAGAGTTTTCACTTAACCTCCTTTCTGAAACAGGCCCCTGCAGTTCAAAAATAAAACCACCTAGAAAATGTTGTGTTGTCGCCTTGCCTCTCTGTTAAATTGTGAGCCTCTGTCGGTCAAAATTGACAGGTAGTGTGATAATCTCACAATGCTTTGCTGCTTAGATAACTGTTACCATCAATTCTGCTCACTGTGAGAAAGTAAGTGTGATGCACATTTGGGAAAAGTGGCAGGCAGTACACCTGCAAAAACAACAGTCAGGACTTATCTGGATGCGAAGCTGTGGCATGGTCTTTAACAGGCTGTTAATGCTAAGAATCTGTCTTAATTAAAGCAGTTCTATAAAGAAAAGTGAGCAAAAATTCCTCCACAGTGATGTGCAAGACTAATTGCCACTTGATAGCAGATGTTGCTGGCAATAGTGGCACAACCAGCCATTATGTGTAATGGATGATTTTTTTTTTCACATAGAGTCAGGCTAGTTTATATTGCCATTTATTTTAGTACAACAAATAAAAAAATGCTCTTTGTATATATTCTGGTTGTCTTTGTCTGATATCTGATTTGATAAGGTGCTAAAACATTAAAGCATTAAAATCAGACAAAGAGAATATTTAAAGCTGTGCAAGGTAACATTTCTATGCAGACGTTTATCAAAAATAAAATTGATCTATTGATATCAGTAATGGTTTTATGTCATATTTACACTTGTGACACCGAAATTGATGAGGTTCTGAAAAACTTTTCTAGATGCAAATATTCTGTTAGAAAGGATTTAATGGTGCAAGAGTTAGAGTTAATTTATGCATTTTCTTCTAAATGTGAGAGTAGAACTCTTAAATTTTGTTATGCTCAAAATCAACTGGAACTGATGGAGCAACTTCTGATTATAGACAGTACAAAGATAAATATTTAATGCTAGAAGCATTTACTCTGAGCATGGATGTCTGGCTTCAATACAGCTTCCATAAGTATCAGCCATATTGATGGCAGATGTTCCCTAGAGCAAATGCAGAATGTGCTCTGGCAGTTGGTTTAAACTCTGTCTCGTCACATCTTCCCTCCCTCCTGCTTGCCTCCTCATTGTCAGGCACATCACATTTGAAACAATCCTCAGGCAATAATTGCCATAAACAAAAAAAACCTGTTTATCTGGTTGGAACAGCAGTCCAAATGAATTCACGCTACCATGGGGAGTGAGGGGAATGATGGCAGTGAATGAAACTTTGATATTCATACAAAAGAATGAAATCAATTTGAACGAAAAACATATTTCTCTTTTCTTTCCCTCCGTTTACTTTCTTTGATGTTTTTTTGGGGAGAAAAATAAAACGGTTCTCTGATGCTTTTGGGGATACAAGCAAGAAACCCTGTTGATAATTATAGATTAGTTTTACACTGGCATTATCATGATCAGTGTAAGCTGTTTTTTAATTATGCATGGTGTGATAAAAACATAGCACTGAAATTATGAAGAACGCAAGAGTTAACAAAAACACAAACACTCAAATAAACACCAACTGTCATGTTTGGTAAGCATAAGACTGGTTTTGGAAACACTGACAGGCACAAATGGAAAGTTTGAAAAATGTATGATTTTTTTACATAAAAAAAAATTAACATGTAGAACCTTACGTGTTTACAGCAGGTTTTCAGGTCGGCTCCAAGTAGAGTTAACATCTGAGGCTTCAAACAAGAAAATATGCTAAAATATTTTCAGAGAGGAATTCTTACTGTTTAAGGAGGCAATGAAATACCAAGAGGATGCAGTTATAACCACCGAGTAATGCTTTCTTTGGTATCTTTCTGAGTGTTTCCCTGAAAAACTGAGAAACTTTGGAGGGTGGACAGGCAGGTAAGCTAAGTTGTTGGAGTGACCCAGGCTGTCGGTATCAGGAGGGCAACAGAGAAGCAGTGACAGAGATTCACAGGGGGAATCTTTAGAGGATTTCTACAGCAATAACAAAGAGCAAGAAAGCAGAACACTAGAATGTAGGAATCGAGCTGGAACACTGGAAATTGGTTCCTTTGGTGGGAATACAGAAAAGGTAAACACTCTTGAGGTAAGAAGACACAAACTGTAGTAAGATAGGTCTGATAACCATGTCTAATAATAATAATAAAACAGAAATATGATCAGATAATCTGCTCTTCTGACTTGATGGGCTGTGACTATGGGAGAACACCTGCCAGTCACATCTTGCAATAAGAGGTGATGAAAGTAATATATGATCACATCAGCCATGCACGCAGTTCTATGGATATTACATAAATATGCTCTTATACAATCATTAGACCAATATTGAAAAAATAAAAGCTAAATTCTTAAATAATTTTGATAATTGAAATATACTATATTGCCAGAAGACATTGAAAAGATGACATGATTTACATCCATGTCATCTCAAGACACTTTACAGAGACAATTGAACCACATCAAACAGTTGGATTGGTTCAAACTTTTCTATATAAGGAAAAAAGCAGCTGATTTCATTGACTCAAGTTGGCAGCAATCTCTCACTGATCATGCATGTAGTGACAGTGGAGAGGGATAACTCTGTTTTTATAATAATATAAAATAAGTATATTTATATAACAATATATATATGGATAACTTTCTTTTAACAGGAAGATGTTAGGCTTAGAACAGGTTGACCCAGTATTCGAGGCAGACAAAAATTTTAGGTTTAAAAGTTTATTATGATCAGAATAGGAGCAGGTGGTGTCAACGTCTCGAGCAGGAACCTCTGCTGGAGTGACCTTGTTTATGTGAAAGCGCTTGCAGAGAGACATGTAGGTCACCAACCTGGTCTTAATGTCCAGTTCTGGTCCAGGAGTAGAGGTAGATCTCAGCTGGCATATGCGAGGGACAGGAGGAGGTCAGAACCATGAAGTCAAAAGCCAGACAGGTTAGGATCAGGAAATCAAAACTAAGAATGCTCAGATAAAGGGCTGGTTATACTCCCCGCAGCAGTGGGTCGCAGTGGGCTTGACGCAGACATTTTTTATTTATGCTCAATTTTGAGCGTGGTCTGCACTATACGCTGTGGGTCTAGATATGGCTGAGGCAATGAAGAAGTGAAGGCAAGTTTATGCGACAATGGAGGGACATGAGAGCGAAAAAGAGCGGGGATCCAGGTGGAAAAAGGATCCCAGCATTCTCGTGCACCTCACTCTTCTAGCTGGTAAAACTTCACGAGTTGTTTTCCGCAATTTCGGTCATAAAAACAAAACAAGCTGGCCTCCTGTCTGCGGCACTGTCTGCGGTCACCTACAATTTGGGAGAGGTGCAGCAGAGTGTCTGTGGAGGGGGCGTTGACGTCTTTGCGTTCTCTGCGACACCAACGCAGACAACCTAATTTCAAAGTATAGATCAGCCTTAACAAATGGCTCGATATATTCTGGCACTGATGACTGGTTTGAAGGCTGGTTAGATATAGGCACATGCAAGTGGATCAGGGGAGAGGTAATGGAAACTGGGCAAAGCTAAGCTGGTGTATGCAATGGATGATCAGAACAGACATCAATGCCGAGATCATGACAAAAGTAAAAAGCCCCATCATCACATAAATTATCAGATTTTGTGTAAGAGCTTGACGCCTCCAATTTCTGACCTGAACATGTTTGAGCATGTCTATGATTACTTGATGCAGAAACTTTGAGTCTGACCTTATGTGTTTCTGGAGACATTACAAAAAAATAAAAATATTCTGAACAAACTCCCAAATCTTTCTGACAGCTTTTCAAGAACAGGTCATTAGTTGGAAATGGGATGCTAATCTCATTCACATTTACATGAAAGCAGATGTACAAATATCTTTTGGCAATGCAGAATATATGAGCATGACTGGAACAGAGCCACTATTCTCACAGGGCCAGCCCACTGCAGGCTACAAAAGACCTCAGACTGTGGTGGAGGTTCATCTTGTAGGACAACAAACAATGCAGCCTAAAACATGCAGTCAACTTAAAACTAACAGCAAACCACACTCACACAAGTTAGATTAGAATGTATGTCAAGACCTGAAAACCTATGCTTACAATATTCAATATTACAATATTTCTCAGTAGCCAATCACAGCCTGCGCAGCTACATCTGCGGGAAGAACCAGGAGCGTGTGCAGAGACGAGCCGCGAAAGCGTTTTGAAAGGAAAAGAGGAGATATTCAGTAAGGAACCGAAAGAGTCTCACAATATCTCTCAAACTGCATGAGCTGGGAGGAAAACAACCCGACAGCAGAAGCCAAGCTACGTCGGTAAGCTGCGTTGGATACTTGTTGGAAAAAAACCGAGAGATACATGTTATGACTTTGCGAGGTCTTCATGCTAACGCTAGCTTGGTATCTCACAGGCTATATTCTTACCGTTCATCTCGTGAGCTGTGGCATTGCTGGAGGCAACGTGAACCCGGTTTTAAACCCAGAACAACGGTGAGAAATGAAGCGGGACGCTTTAGAGGTTGTGGTATTTTTCTGTGTATGGTAAATATGCTAGAAAAAGTTATATGGTCTTCTGAGACTGTGAAAATAGGCTGAAATGGAAAATAGTGCAGTGTTTTGAGCATATAAGTGCAAGGAATACTATGCTATTTAAAGCTGCTGATGAATGTGTTTAAGAAAAGAGGAGTTTCTTTATTTTTTTCTGATGAATATGTTTAAAAGGACAGTTTACTTAGGTTGTTTTATATATTGTAAGTTTATTGGGAGAAAATGATTTGATATATTGTATATGTAACATTTTGGTCTATTTTGTAAGCGTACATCCTTAAAGGGAATCCAGATGATAATTTTTGGTGCAGGTCTCCTTTTGCATTAGAAGGCCTATAGTGCAGGAGGGGTAACTAAGCACATGTTTTTCATATCTCTGGATAGGCTTATTAAATATGTTGCACTTTTGTTACAATTGCACTTTATTATTCCATTTATGATAGTCATCCTATCAGCTCATTGTTATTAATCACTTACCGTGATAAAATTCCGATTGTTTATAAAAAACAGTAGAAGTGTGAATCTGTTTGAATGTTGTACAACTAGAAGAAAAGAGAGATTTGATTTGAGTTAAGATTTATAAATAACATTTAATGCATTATTTGCATTTTTACAAAGGGATTTTGAGATAAGACATCTGAGGACGAATTGTAATGGATATATTTGACCTTGTCAACAGGTCAGGTTTTTTTAGTTGGTGGACAGTGAGTTCCCAGGACCCAAACGAGATCCCAGATGGCGAGCCGAAGAACCTAGGAGGAAAACGCGTACCATACACACACATACACATTTTTTTCATTATTGAGAACTCTTAGATACAGGTGCACCTGCAATAACTCAGGGCCCCAACGGACAAATTTTTTTTTTTTTGTGCGCACCATTTTTGTTTTGGGGGTTTATTCAAATTTATTTTGTATTGATTCATCATTTAACTTGTTCTGTGTAAAAAAAAAAAAATACACGAGTGGCTGTTCAAACTTTGACTCTGTGCTCCTCATTATTGTTGCTCAACCTCTTGGCTCTTACAGAATCTA